ATCCTGCATGCAAATTATTCAATAAATATGTTAACAAACCCTATGCAAATTATTCAATAAATATGATAACAAACCCTAAAGTTCTGTTTATGAAATAAAGAATTATTGGAATGGATATCTTGAAATAGATAAATAAAAAAAAATAGTAGTAAAACAGGTAACAAACTATCCAATTAAGACTTGCAAGATTGGCTGCAAGATTGATTAGTTTTTATTGGCTTAAAATTGATGAAATATTTAACTCCCATATTTCATCAATTATTAAGCCTATAATAATAATAATCAATCTTATAGTCAATGTCGCATATGTCATGATTGGATAGTTTGTTACCTGTTTTACTACATAATAAATTTGATATTTGCTCATCTATGTATCATTAGTTGAATTTTGTGCAATTTTCTGTTTATTGTTTTATGTGCCATTGCTTGATAAGGATGCAGAAAACATGGAAGTTTCAAAATTCAGTGCAATGCTCATACTATGAGTAAAATTTTCTGGTTAGTGAGGGATACTGAGATTTTTAGACGGTACATGTAATCGGACAATCATTAAGTATTCACACTCGATGCAGTATCGAGTCACTAAAAAAAAAATGATAGGAATATGGTATTTTTGAAAGTAAGGGTGGTCTATGTTTCTAACAGATCAGCGATTGGATTCATGTTATTATCATAAATTGCTGAGTTGGCTTTAGATTTTGTTGTGCAGGCGGCAAAGTTTACATTTCTCACAATTTAGTAAAACAATAGTCTTGTCAATCATAATTTCATTTGATTTTTTTAGGTAGTACTTTTTTTTTATAAACGCCCAAGGGCTAACTTTATTGAAATTGAAAAGATACATAGAGGTTGTATGAGAGGACCCCAAAAAAGGTGCCCTACCCATACGATACATCAGACACTAGCATCCTAAAAGGATGAAACATAGATAAAACATAAAAAAAAAAAAAAAACTTGCAGGAAGTAAGCTGCTACGCACGAGCCAGCTTGGTTTTACCTCTGCCTCTGGTTCTAGGAGCAGAGACAACTAACAAATTGCTGAGTGTCGTTTCATTTCCCGAATTTATTAGAGTATCATCCATTAAGTTCCCAAGCTGGGGTGTGTCTCCATTCTTCTTTTTCTTTCTAGATGTGTATACCTACCATTTATCATCCGAGGATTGACTCATCTGATTAGTGTGGTCAACAAATTGTTGGGCATGTAGGAGAGAATGAGCCCCCAACTCCTGACTAGCAGTAACAACATTATGATTCGGAAGAGATGGTGTCTTCAACACCTGATGCATTCTGGGGATGTGGAGCTTCAATACTATCCTGATTATCGGACCCAAGTAAACCATCTGCCAGTATATCAGTCGGAAGAACAGAGACAGTATTGTCTCCGGTAGTGGGAAGGGGAAGTAACATCGTGTTAACTGGTGTTTCAATAGTCTGTGGATGCACTCATGAGCGGAGAAGGGATAGATATGAGGTGGGGCAGATCCATAAGCGTTTTTACTTGAATGTTTTAAATTCAGATGCAACTGATAACATTGAGAAGAAGAATGTCCAAAAGAATGTCCATTGAGAAGAAGAATGTCCAAACATACGACATTGGGTACGATACATTGGTATCTGTTCAAGTTCTGTTTGTTGCCAAAATCCCTGATGTTGTGTGCCAATCCATATTTCTCCCGAAAAAGGTAAAGTAATATTAATTTCTATTAAAATTCTGGCTTCTGAAGGTCGAGTCAGATTTACTGTAGGCGTGTCAGCTTTGAGGGGTTTACCGTATACTATCACTAAAGCGAAGAGAAACTTTTGATAAAAAAGGTGGATCTTCAAACTTGGGAAGCGCAGCCAAACAGAAATGGTAGGAGTTTCAGTACGAGGGTCAAAGTCCACCGTCCATTTTAAAACCTTCATCACCTGATTTTTTATTCGAAGAACTCTTCTCGCAAACAAATGAGTGTAGTTTTCGTCATTTGATAATTGAATATGAATGTGGCGACCATCCAATTTACTGATCTTTCAACCCCCTTTCAGCTTCATTTGCTCAAAGTCTTTTCGAATTAGCTCAAGTTTAGGGTTCTCAAGTTTAGGGTTTCCATAATAGGGTTTCCATAAAGAAACTTACCTACTAAGAACAGTCGGCAGGGCGCAGCTAAGGTGGAGATCTCTCCCTCAGTGAGAAAGATTGCAAGTTTGCCATTTTTACGGGAAGTTTTTTTGAGAAATTCAGTTTCAATTCCAAGAGCAAAATTGTCGTGGTATCGTTGCAGAAACATATTCGAAAGAGGGGTGGAGACGGGTGGAGACGGGGTTATCACACGGGGTTATCACTGACGAGTGCGGCGGCGTAGGAACGTTCTAAAACCATATCTTCAGCAAGCTGTCGATTGGCACAGACAGGCGCAGACTCAAGCAGGCGCGAACTCTGGCGAGCGGTCGACAACGCTGGCGGAAGGCGAGGGGGAATGTCGCTAGGCGACGCAGATGATGGCGCTGCGATGCGTGGAAGAAGACGCAGCAGGAGGCACGTCTTCTCCTCCACAATCAACGATGCCAACGCACAGACGCGTGAGAGAGTGGAGATCGGAGCAACAACGACAATCGAAACGCTAGGGTTCGCCATGGGGCGGAACCCTAGCAGAGCGGCGGGACGCGACCTTCGTAATATTAGATAGTACTTATTGATGTAAGTTGACTACTATTTTTATTGTTTAAGATTTGTGCTATTGTGATGATTTTGTCTAAGTAGATGCTAATCCTCTCTATAGTATTTAATCATAAAAAACTTGAATGCTTTTATCGTCAATGCCATCACTGCTTTTGCTATTTTTGCATGCTGCAACCAAAGCCTTAATATTAAATCTCTAACTCTTGCACACCTTATTAATTTCACTGAAACTCAAGCTTGTGCTCTATGCAAAGTTTTTAAACTGACTAACGTTCATCTCTTATGTATTGTTCATTCACTGATTTTATGAATTTGTAAAGGGCTATTTAGTTGGAGGTATTTAGGGTGCACTGTATTTTAAATAAAGGCTTTTTTTTAATCTCTGGATATTTGATTGAGCCCAAAACAAAAACAAGATATTTTTCTAAAAAATTTTGATTATATCAAATATATTATATATATATAATGAAATTGAAATTTGGCTCATTCAAGCAAACTTTATATTCATTGCACATCACAATCTCACTAAGCTCATGAACCTTTCTTTGATGCGCTTATGAGCTTTCCTTGCCTTGTAAGCTCGTGGCTTCCCTGCGCTTTAATCATCCTTACATTCACAAATATGTTTCTGCGTCAACACCTCATACTCACTGTTTGCTGCTTTCATGCTCATGACCTCATTGATGCACATTTGGTTACCTCATACTCACTGCCCGCTACTTTCATCCTCATGATCTCATTGATGCACATTTGGTTCTATTCCTATGTTGGTGCCATCTCTTGTAGTACCATCGATCAAACTAGAATTTAGAGGTTGTCTTGTGTCAGTGCCCAAAATCCTTCTAAAATAGATTAAATAAAGAAAATTATTATGTTAGTTAAAAAATAGTTATATTTTACTCTGAGAAATGTGTCAAATGGTCTCCTGACTCTTTGCAGGGGACCATTTGTCTATTTTAGTCCCAGCATTTATAAAAGTGTCAATTTAGTCCATAGCCTATTTTAATATGGGTTGGAATAGTCCCTAATTAGGACTATTTTAGCCCTCATTTAAATATTTTGGGAACTAACTTAGCATTTTTATAAACTTTGGGATTGATATTAAGCCCATATATTTTTGCTTTAGTTATGGATGTACCTAGTGGACATTTTTGGGAGAATGTACAATGGTGTATGCTTTTCGCTGATGATATACTTGTTGATAAGATTAGAGAAAAAGTTTATGAAAAAATTGAATTATAGAGATCAACTTAGTTTTGAGGCTTTTGTTTCAATAGATTTAAGACTGAATACATGGAATGCAATTTTAGTAGTTATAGATTTAATGGCGGAGTTGCAACAATGAGTGATCAAGTCATTAAAATGAGTGAATGTTTAAGATATGTCTGGCCTATTCTTTAAAGTGATGGTGATATTGATGGGGATGTTATTAGTAAAATTCAATTTGGATGGTTGAAGTGGAGGAATGGATCGGGCCTATTGTGTGATAAAATAGTATCGGTTAGACTTAAAGTAACATTTTATAAAATAGTGGTGAGACTTCAATGTTTTATGGCGCAGAATGTTGGCATGTAAAAGGGAAGCATAAAACTAGATAAAGTGTTGCTAACATGAGATTGCTTAGGTGCATGAGTGGCCTTACACTTAGAGACGAAATGTGAAATATATGCATCCGTGAGAGTATTGACGTAGCTCTAGTGGCAGACAAGGTTAGAGAGTCATCTTAAGATAGTTTGGTCACGTTAAACATCGATTATCTGACGATCCAATTAGGAGAGTTGAGGTTTTTAAATTTGACTAGTGTTAAGAAAAGCAGAGGCTGACCGAGAAAGTGATGGGCTTGTTGCTTAAAAAATGACCTCAATTTATTAAATTAAATGAAAATATGACACTCAATAGCACTCAATGGAGAAAAAGGATTCATGTAGCCTACCTTACTTAATAACCTTAAGGCTTGTTGTATAAATTTTGGGACTGAAATTGCCTCTTGTTTGTAGTCAGGAGACTATTTTGGCACCTTGCTCATTTTACTTTCAACCAAATACCAACCAAGTAATTTCAAAATTTTTCTTATAATTAACCAAACAATTCTGAGTATTTTAAATATATTGTATTTATTTTTTTTTTATTTGAAGCAGACCTGAATTCTAAGTAGTTGCCACTAAACGGTATCCTAGTCCCCAAGAATGCAATCTATTGAGTCTTTCAGATGATACTGGAAGATACATTAGTTTTCTGTTCAACGTAGGGTCACATTTTTTATTTTAATTTTACTCGAACTGATTTTATCAATTATCATCACCTCTTACTTTTTTATTTAAACTTTTTTTTGTACGTGTAGTTAAATTACCAGAATTGCTCTCTTATGTCAACATGGAAGAGGATGCATCGGGCAAGTTGCAGCAGAAGCTACTAGATCTTCTCAAGTATGCTTGCAATTTCCTATGTAACATTTATATCTATATTTTACTTTTAATTAGTAGTGCAACAACTTTTGCGGGCTCATTGTTTAGCTAATAAAATTTGTTTTAAATTACTTGAATGATTATCTATTGAAAGAGGTTTTTACATACCAACCACCCAAAACATTAATGTAATTAATCTCAAGCAATGCCCAAATTTCTGTAATTTATATTTTTAAATTTGGTTGACATTATTTTATCTTTTCCTTTTCTTTCTTTCTTTAGTGTAAAAAAAAAAAAACTATTTGAAGCAGTTAAATAACTCAAAAAAGAAAATTCATTCCAAAGAATAAATCAGTATCTTTTTGATGGTCATTAGCTTTGTCCAAAATGTTTGTGGCCAATATAATGAACTCTTCTGCACCCATTCCTGCCTGCTGGGCGACTATTTTATTTTTTTAGATATTTTTTTTTTACTCGGTTAGCCTAATAATTAGATAGCTTAAGGCTTGTTTGGGACCAATTTTGTTTTTTTTGTATTTATTTTTCCTTTGTTTTAAAAACATGTTTGTTTAATATGTTTTTATTTTTCATTTCTAAAAATAAATAAATATGTTTTTGAAAACACCTAAAAAAACTTTTGGGTGTTTTGAGTATTTTAACCATATCTTAATAAAAAATATTAAAAATATTTTGTTTCAAATAAAAACATAAATAAAATATAACTAAACAAAAAATAAAGTGGCCCTAAATAGCCCCTTGGTTAATCATCATAATGAATTTAGATATCATTAGCCTAAATAAAATTTAGTTGACTAACTCTGGTTTCACTTGAATGATTTCATTTTTACTAGAATAAGTTGAATTGAATGTGGTTATTTGCACTAATAATTGGTACTCTGTTCTTGAATTCTGAAGATGAGTTATCTTCTATCAAATTTCTTCCAACTACTTGAGCTTTAGTTTTGGAACTGGGATGCATTCACTTAACGCTTTGATTTGTAGTTGGCAGTTAACATATTGCTGTATTTTATTATAGGGGCATTTACATGCATATCACACAATTCATATGTATTTACATGATTAACATCTAAACTTCAATATTTATATTCATAACAATTAAATTCTTAACATCATATAAAAAAATACCACTTTACTAACTCATTAAATGTCAAATGCATTAGGATTAGTACACCGTGTTATAAATGTTTATATCAAACTTTAGGTATTAGATATATAAATCCAGAAAAAGTGTGGTACATATGTTAATTTCCCAATATTATATCGTTGGTCTTATCAAGGTTAATAAAATGTTCATGCAATTTTGCGAAGTTCTGATAATGGGAGTTTAGAGAAAACATTGTTATTCCAATTATAATTCAAAGATCTGCAAATTTCTGATCTGTTTTGCTGATCATTGTAGTAGATGAGTTCACTTCATATCTGTTTTGGGTACAAATGTATCGTAGCAACGTTTATTGCAATAAACTCTGCATCAGCTGGAGAAATGAACGTTACTGCTAATTATATATCTGGCAGCAAAGTACATCTAAATTCATATTTGTGAAATTTTCTGTTTAATTTACTTGCAGGTTCCTTCAGAAAAATCAGAACTTGTTCTTTCTTTCAACCTATAATGGTTCAAAGAGCATGGAAAAATCTGAGGATTAGTGCAATGGGTGGAGCTCATTTAGCAGAAATCAAATTCATTTCTGAAACACGTTTGCATGTTTTTCTTCCTCCTGGTCAAGTATCTCTAGTCCAAATTGGAGGGCGACTATGATATCTTTGGCAATAATGAAGAGATCCAACTCGGATATCAGCTCTCCAAATAACCCTTTTCCCTTTTCTATAGAACTCTAGAAATCCAGTTATAGGCTGAGTTGTGACATTTAAGCATATTTTTTTAAAACTATTTCTTGGTATAATCCTCTGCAGTAATTAAACTGCATAGAGCTTGATTGAACTGGAGAGGGTAAACCTGCAACACGAAAATTGAAATAAAAAAAAAAATGCTCGTCTCCCATTTTCAATGAAAATCTTAAGAAAGCAATGGTAAAATGAATTGGGTATGTGATGCGGTTGGTTTATGCTTTGATTTTATAACTGCGTTATTATTCTTTCGAATGTGAGTAAAGTTTGAATTAAAAATGATCTGATGCGTCTTTTTTTGTTGGGTTTCATAGTGAATGTTTTTTGTTCTTTTGTTGGTTCTTCAGTTGGTAGAAACTTTGTTGGCATTGAGAATCTCTCAGCCAATGTTTGCTTCCAAGTTTATTTACTGGATGTACATCTTCTGAATTTGTGCAAGCCTTACTTGAGACTCCGCTGAGTTTTGCACTAAAAATGCTGATTAGATGGATAAATTTTTTTTTTACTTGTATTGAGTACACAATGTCTTAATAAGTTGAAAGTTAAACAAAATTGGATTTGATTTTTTGGCTTGAAATTGATGTTGATGAGTGTATGAATCAAGTGATTGGTTGATATTTTATATATATATATATATATATATATAATTGAGTTAATTGTGCGCGTTTCGTGGCCTGTTGGGAGATTAGTCTCTCTAAAGATCATAAGTTCTCTCAGGTTATGAGCTCAATTTCTTCTGTGCGTACGGTGTGGTACTTGAATATTTAGCACACCTAGGGATGTCCGGAGCTCGTCTAATAGCTTCCGACCATTCCTTTATATATATATATATATAATTGATTTAATTTAAGATTACATCGAGTGATTTGAGTGGATTTTAAGCCATAGTAGAACTAGCCTGAATTTTTTACAGCCAGAAATGGGAGCCATTAATGTTTTTCGTGCGCAAGATGAGCACAAGGCTGGAAATGTTCTACGGATGCAGTTTCCAGCCTATTACTATTGAAGTTTAGATGTTAAAAAATCAAATCCAATTAAAAAAAACATTAATGGCTCCCATTTCTGAATTTTTTACAGCCAGAAATGGGATTTTTTGTTTTTCGTGCGCAAGACGCTAAAAAGATTGGCTGTGGCTAGGCGTCTGAAGATCTCTATGGGATTTTTTTTTTTTTTTTGTTTAGTTTTATTTTTAAATAGGGTGAAGGAAAATTTATTAAAAATAAATGAAAAGTGTCAGCAAGATTTTAACTATTGTTTGCTTTCAATAATCCAAGACATGTAGACCATATAAAAACAAATTTTAGCAAGTTTATGATGGTGTTGGGCAAGTTGTGTTAAGAAAGGGAGAGGCAGGTCTAGGAAGACTAGGGCTTATTGTATAAAAAATGATCTTAATTCACTAGAACTAAATGAAAATATGACCACAATGAAGGAAAATGATTCATGTAGCCGATCTCACGTAGTGGGATTAAGATTTTGTTGTTGTTGTTGTTGTTGCTGATGTTGTTGGGCGAATGGTCCAAAGATTGGTGTTGAAAGAATGCTTTTGAATCAGTAAAGCTGTTATATTTTTAAATTTATGCTTGAGAAGCGAATTCATTGGCCAATTAAATATAATCCCTTTTTTTATTTTCTTAAAAAAGCTACTATATTTTAAACGTTAACAAAGGAAAAATATCAGGGTATACAGCAAGATTAGCTATGTATTTTTATTTTATTTTATTTTGTATTTCTCAAGTATATACTTAATACAACTGAGATTCATAATTATATTGTGATGTCCCCTCATCTAGGCTTGCCAACAATATAATGCTAAATTTGACTTTGGTATTAATCGACATCCTTGTAGCAGATTTTTCTAGGAAAACAATGAATCGAAAATTAGAGCAAAAAAAGAGAATCGTAATCAAATATGGATATTTAACAACGAGGCATGATATTTTTACAAAATTCAGGAAGATGTTCCAAGGCATTTGTAATTTAGCTAACTAATGATTGTTAGAATATGCCAAATAATCGTTATGTTGAATTTAAATAAATTCATAAAAATTAATGTAACTTCATGAATAAGTACATCATGAGCGCACATACTCACAACATGTAAGTTGAGGGTGTAGTCTCTTACTGTGAAATCTCATGTTTGATTTGTGCATATTGTTCATGGATTTAATTTTCTTTGAAAAAAAAAAGTGAAACACAACTTGTAATTAGGGAGAATTATGAAATCTAGAGGGATGTTTTTCTATTTTATTAGATTATGGAAAATGTAATACAGTAAAAAATTGACCTGGTAGAATTTAGGGCTGCAATATTAGTCATAACATAAAAAATATCTTGGCACTATTATTTGTTGTAAACTACAATGGACGTTTAGCTATAAACATAAAAAATTGCTTATTAAAGATTGTAGTTCTTTCTTATGAAAGTTGCTAATTGAATTGATCAAGTGAAGTAGCTCATAAATCTATCAATCTAATCAGATGAAAATTTTATAAAAGATGAGGGAGCTAGGTCGATAAATTGCCTTCCATTCTATTAGCATATCAATTTGAATTCAAAAATCATCATAGTGGATCACTAATATATTTAACATTTGGTTGTGAGGTAGTAATTCAAAGTTAGATCTACAACATACACTAAAAAAACACTTGATGTCCTTAGAGAGCAAGGCTCCAACCATAACTTACTTAGAGACAAAAAAGGGTGAAGTCAGTGTTGTATTGCATCCCATAAGACCTAAGTTGATCAACTCATCCTTATGAAATTTGATCTACGAATGTTCGATGTAGATGGATGAGCTGCTTCCTTAGCTCTTCACAAACCATTACAGAACTAGTTGCCTCATGTCCAACTTCCAAATACGAAGGGAGCTCCTCGTTTGATTTCGAGCTTTGTAGTAGTGGCGATGATGCTAAAGAATCCTTTAACTTTGTGAATGCCTCCTCACAATCGGTCGACCATTTGAAGTTCTTTGCTTTCCTGAGTGTTTCGAAGGATGAGACACATTTTTCACCTATTTTTAGATGAATCTACTAAGGTCCATTATTTAGTTGGTCAACTTATGGACTTTATTGTGTTTCAAGGATAAATGTTTAGCAATGAATGTACTTTCTTGGGTTGGTTTTGATTCCCTTTGGGTCAAGAAGTGGTCAAGAAATTTGTTGGTAGAAGGTCTGAGTGTACATTTAAATGGGTTGAGTTTCATATTATAATTTGAAGTGTTTATGATGTTTCTTTCAAATCATTTATGTGTTTTTCATCTAACCGACTCTTAAGCAGAATATCATCCATGTAGGCTTCAACATTTTATTTTTTTATGATTTGAAAAGATTACATTCATTAAACGATGGTAAGTAGCCCTAGCATTCGTAAGCTCAAGACTTCCTTCCCTCCGGTGTTTGACTTGAGTGGCTCCTGCTTAATGATGCGCCCCTGGTGTGTGCTATTTTTCTGCATGTTTTATGTCAATTTAAATCCCCGGTAACAGTGTCAAAAACTTGACCCGTCCCAAACTTACACAGTAATTTAGCTTCTAAAAATATGACCGAATTATTGCCTAATTTATATTAAGTATTTAATGTGCAAAATCAAAATGTTATATAAAATATATAAAATAGTTCACACACTATGGGTTCTACATTAGTGCACGTATCGCTTCAAGTAATATAAGATTCTTTTTAAAAATCTTAGTATCGATCTCACAGAAAAGCGCAGTAAAAAATCCCTTAGGCTAATTCTAGTCTACTACTATCAAGTCTTAGTTTGGAAGATGAAAATTCTTATGATAATAACATAATCACAATATTCAAACTATAAAAATTAAAATTAGAAAGAAAAATTAAAATGAGTTTAATGAATGCTAATAGAAATGTAACTAAAAGAACTAAGTTAGCTAAGTTTACTAAACTAATTTCTAAATAAACATATGAAAACTCAATAAAGTTTTTGTGGCGAAGAGTTCAAATTTAAAAAAGCATCATTCTCTTTTACAATGAGTATACTCATACAATGAGTTTTTGGATTGTGAAGAAATTAAAATCATTTTAAAATATATACAATTGTTTTGTGCCAAATAGGAGCAATCCTTTTCTTTACCTTCTTGCAAGTGCATAAAGAATATTGACTAATCCAGTGTTTGGTCCCTAATTTCATAGTTTCCAATCACTCTATAATTGGTGAAATATACTCCCTCGCCTGAGGGCTAACTATCTCGCATTAGTTTCCAATCAAGTAGACCAAATTGAGGATTTTAATGTCACCATATAATCACCAATTCTTCATCCAACAAAGTATATTTCCCTATTTATTTGCATGCAACCCCATGGATGACATGCTCTCCCATGGAATCAAATGTGATTCTCACTATGTTGTAGAAATTATAGCCCTTTCGAATCTTATGTTTCTAAACACAAAATTTAACCTTTCAATTATCCAAATAAAAAAGTAAATGAAGCTCAGAGTTCAAATCATCACAAACTTTTTACATTTAAAATCGTATAAAACAAATCAATTCTTCATAAAACTAAATCTCATTGTAAGGAGAAGGATAAAGAAGACTAATTAGAATTCATGAGAAGGATACAACAAAACACGTATTTCATATATAAAAATAAGTTTATAAAATAAAGAAAGAAAAGAACACAACTTATCTCACACTCCTTCCCAAGCGAATCCCTACAAGTTCCTTTTAAGCACTTTCTCTCTTTACAATCACACTCAATTCTCTTCTAGAAATGTAATGAAGAAGAAATCTCTCACCTTCTCTCTCCATTTACAACTATAGAAGAAAGTTTTCACTTCACTAAAGTTTTCCTCTCACTCTCACGCCATCAAGCCCTAGACTCCTCTCCTTTTTAAAGAGGGGCTGCCTCCTTTCAAAAAAAAATTCAAAATTCCCTCCCAAATTCTCTTTAAAAGTCGCACCTTTTGAATACCAAAAGACATGTCCATTCATTGTGACAAATCTCTTCATTAAAGAGTCTTCTAAAGTGTCTAGATGCATTAAATCACTCATGGGGCGTTTGAATCACTTGGAGACTTCAAAATCTGCTTAAAATTTGTCCCGAACTGCCATAATTATTCTTATATCGTCTCTGTCGCTCAGGCATGAGTTCAAGCACCACTTTACAACAGCTCCACCATTTTTCTTCGTTTTGCTCCGTTTCACCCTATTTTAGTTGTGTTTCGCTCTTAACAAATAT